GGGGGCTGCACAGAGGGTTCAGTGCTGTGAGGGTCCCAGCCAAAGGGCCTGCAGAGGTCATAGGGAGAGCAAAGTAGTGCAATATGAAAGTGCGGTCTGCAAAAACCCTTCACAAAGTCAGGTCTGGGTCTGGCAGTCATCACCTGGAGGGGAAGAGCAGCAGGTGGTCAAGTCTGAGGGGTGCAGGGAGCGTGTCCCAGGAAACCCATGGCAAGTCCTGGTCACTCTTCTGGAAATGCAGGGGACTCACTCAGGGCTGTCCTGCTCTCCTACCAGCTTTCTTCAAGTGGTGCAGCTGCTGATTTTATCAAACTTACCCCAGTGTGCATAAGACATAAGCAGGACCTGGTGATTATGCTAGAAGTCCTAACTGGTTTTGTTTTGGGCTGAAACTGAGAGTTTTGAAAAATGTTACATTTTTACGCTCCTTCTGATTGCTGGGTGACATTTTGGCTTTTGCCTTATTTAGAGAAAGTCTATATATTATGTAAGTAATTTAAGGGCACATAACAACCTTAAGGTTCTGCACCTTCCCGCAGTATTTATTTGTGGCTTTGCATTGCTCTGTTGTGTCTTGGTGTTTCTTAGTTAAGAGGTTAGAATAACACCTCCCTTCACAAGGTATTGATATGCTTGGGCAGAATTTGATTTAGTTAATGAACTCTTACCTGGAGCTCAATTTATCCATGGATTCTGATGAGGCTGAGTGAGATCTCACCTGTGGCTGTCAAGAACTTCTAGAGGGTTAAGGAACACGCAAAACACCATCCCTTCTTGCCTCCTAAATCCAGCTGGAGCCTTTCCTGTAACAGTCCAGGGAAATCACAAGACTTTTAATTTAACCTGACTTTACAATTGCTCCAGAGGTGGGAAGTGGAAGAGAAATGGATGCAGGACTGAAAGAGTGGTGGTTTCCAAGTGGGCACTGGCTGTTAGGTGGTGATCCCCACTTCTTTGCTCTCCCTGGGGCACCTCCTCACCAGAGCTTCCCATCAGTCCAGGAGCAGGGCAGGGCACCCTGTGACATGGTTTTGGGATGGGCAACGAGGCTGGAGTAACCTGGGGACACCCTCTTGCACACACACAGGCTTTCCTGAATTTCCTCTTTGTCACACTTCTGCTTTCTTTTCTAGGAAACTTGAAATGCTGAGCATTGCTAGATTGAGAGGAGGGAAAACACCTGGAGGGTGGCCAAGCTGTTTATCAAGGGTCTGAAATAAGGATTTAGAAATTTATCTTTAGATTATATTATTTTAAAAAGAAAAACAAACAAAAAAGGACCTTGCTTTTTGTTTCAGCTAAGCATAAAAGGCTTTTGCTGACCACATTGGTTTGAGGTTTTCATGTTCATCCTAAAATCACCCTGAGGTAAAATTTCTCTCTTTCACTTCTTGCTTTGGCACAGGACTGGTGAAAAGGGAAAGTGTTAGCAGTTTCCATGTTCAGAAATAAAGGTCAACAGAATAAGTCATCCAAAAATCCTTCAATAAGTTATGTGGATAAAAGCTTCCTCTGATGCTGTCACACAGAGTTGTCACCACAGCTCTGTTTCTGCTCATTTCAAACTTTGCTTTTGTATATTCTATGTGTAAATCACTCAGATTTGGTGCAATTATTTCAAACTGCTTTATGTTAGGGTGCATCTCTTTAAATAGTCAAGCATCCCCAAAATTAGGTAGTTTCTTTTTAATGCTGTGCTCTATTATGGCCACCTCCAATTTCATTAAATGTTTGTGCTGGTGCCTTGCTGGGTCCATTGCTCATGGGGTGGCTTGCCCACCTTTTTATGCTTGAAAATTTTTGAAGTGTACAAGGAAAATTAAACCTGTCCTGGTTCCCAAAAATGGTCTTTAAAAATGCTGCTATGCTTAAGCCCATCTTCACATAATCATTTTGACATAGTTCAAAACTGTAGGCAGTGAGAAGAAAATATCTCTGTTATGCATCCTCATTTACATGTAAATTACTGGATAGTATATCTGTCTCTATAGAATTTAGGTAATCCAAAGGAGGAACTTTTCCAGTCAATCAGGGGGCAACGCAAATAATCTTTTCCTACTGCAGGTGCCTATATTTAACTCCATTGTGATTTCTCATCTGGATCCCAGGGACACTCCTTGCATAATTGTGGGGACTGCTGTTATTTTATGCTTAATTTCTATAGAAATATAAGTACAATGAGAAACTGTGCCTGTGTGTGTTTCCTCAGAGATGATAATAGCCTTTATGATGCCTGCTTGTCCAGTTCCTGGAATTGTTTCTGTCTCACAGTGCAAAAGCTGCTGGTTCCTTGTGTGACTCTCAGCTATTTCTGTTCTAAAATAAATAATAATAATATAAACACAAACCCACACATAACTATTCTTTACCTAAGGTAAAAGCTTATGACCTTCCTTAAGCAGCTTTAGTAATTTTAAGCGATTCACCTGGATGGAAACTTTCTTTCCTGGAAAAATTCTTCCTAGTAAGTGACAAAGTGACTACGTGCTGGATTTACTGCTCTGTTGGCAAATCTTTGCTTAGTGGCATTGCTGCCACATTCTGTGTCCTGGCTCTGGGGATGAACCTCTGCTGTGTGCCTGGTGCCAGGGGGCTGGCAGGGAGCAGGGGCTTGGTTTAGTTAAATAAGTTTGAAAAAAATAGGAAGAATGAACCTCTGAATGTTTTTCCTTTGGGTTTCTACCACTTTGCACTTGTGAATAAAAGGTGGCTTTCAGATAAGGGACTCTTGGGAACGAGGTTGTCTGATGGCATATTACTAGTACATCCTATGCTTTAGATCAGATAGGATGGGGAGATATTAGAGCTTAAAAAGACTGAAATAATGCACAGAGATTTGAAATTTGAGGTTTTCTTATGGTTCATTTTACAGAGGCAAACTTGTGGTTTGGGTTTTTTTCCCTCTTTTTCTTTGCTTTTCCATTTTTTTTTTTTTTAATTATTCTACTTAAAAATTTCTCTCCCTCCTGTTTTTCTTTACCCTGTCTAGCTATTTCTTTTTGGTACCATGTATTTGTTACATATTCCAAACTGCTGTGAATGATTATGCAATTTTGTAGATGCTTTCTTCATTAATAAAACATTTGTTGTTTCATTGGTTTTTATTGGATGTTTTTGAGGCGAAGGAAATCAAGCAAACTAAAGCATCTGAAACACCATTCCTGGTATTCCCTGGCTCCTAAGCCAAGGAGAGAGTGTTTTCTTGTTCTGCATTACTCCCTTTGAAGAGTTTCTGGTTATAACTTTCCTTATGGGATTACTTAATCAGTAACTCAATGGACAATGAGCAGATTCTGCTGAGTTTTTCTTTAAAAGGACATTTTAGTGGGGGGGGAAAAGGCTATTTTGGAGCATTACTGCTTTTCTGGCCCAGCTGATGTTTTTAAGTGCTTGCTTTCAAAGTCCTTCCTGTTCTCTGGCCATGCAGTGACTGGTGTTTTTAACTGCAGTACTTGGAGTGACCTGGGACCAGCATCCTGGTTATAATTTTCATTGTCAAGCAGTGGCCAAACATCTTTGCCCTTTTCTGGGATATCTCCTGCCCTGAAGAGGTCACAGTCCAGAAAGACAGCTTGTAGAGCTTCAGCACCTTTATTTCTTGCTTCTCTTGTGGAATTGCCTTTCTTGAAGAGCATTTTGGTAGAGAAATGGTGAAGAGGAGGGACCCTGGGTCCCTGAGCACAGACAGCAGAGCTGTGGAGCTGCTGCTTTTGGCACATCTCAGTTTGCATTCCAGGTGCTGATCGGGGGGGGCACTGCAGACCCAAGTGATGAGAAGATCCAGAAGACTGAATCTAATTCCTGTAGCTCATTTGTCTGTGGAGAAACTAAAGCAGCTGCTCTGATATCTGAATAAACCAGAGTTTCTCATCTTTGTAGAGATTTCTTCTCATTTCCTGTTTCCTTGAGCTATAGCACAAGAGCCATCAGGATCCATCCATCTACACCTGTTTTGTCACAGTGTCTCAGACCTCACAGCCTGGATGCTTGAGGACCAGGGCAGGGGCTGTTGAACATCTATTTTGGGAAACCGAGGGTCTCAACCAGGAGGTCTTTGACAGAGAATGATGTTGAACCTGGCTTTCCCAGATTCTTGCACCTCAACCACTTTTCTTTCCACTTGTGTGAGATCTGGAGGAGTAAACCAAGTGGGATTTGTTCTCTATATGAAGTGGGAGCTTGTAATAATAAAAGCCTTAACATCTTGCTCCTGTGAGCTGACAATATAAAGTGTTTCATGCAGTGTGTGTCTTCAGCTATGCTGTATTTCTGTCTGCCTTCAGAAACCCAAGCCTACAAAAAGCATAAAACTAATTTAAAATGAGACATTAAACAAAGATAGTTTGGGAGTTCTGTTTTTCTGGTATTTGATTTCTTTGGGATTTTTTTTTTAATGTTTTTCCTTGAGAAACATGAGAACAAGGGTTAGGTTATTTATTTTTTCCTGAGAAAATGAAGCTAAGTCTCTCCCCTAATTATGGAGCTTCAGAATCCATAACACCAAAGATCACCACAATGACAATATGTTCCTGAGATTTGGCAGTGTTTCAGAACAAGGAAAAACATGTGCTGGGGAGTCAGTTTGCTTGGTATGATATCAGAGGTCTGCAATGGAGCTGTTACCCACGCCCTTTTCCTTTTCTAGCTGTATAATTAAATACTTAACACATTTCAGAAATAATGGATTAATTACTGTAATTAAGCAGGCCTTCTTTCACAAGCGAAGAGCACGGGAAAGCAGCGCTGCTATTCCTCTGGCATCGTGAGCCTTCCTTTATTTTCACCCACAGTTTACATGAAGGTGAAGGGCAGAACAAATTTTCCAAAATTGCTCAAAGTGCCATTTTCAAAAGCTGTGCCCCACCAGCATGCCTTTAACTCAGAAGTCATTGTGCTTTAGACTCTTCAGATGACAAAATTAATGCTTAGGCAGTTTTGAAATTTCTACCCAGTGTCTGCCTTGGTTTCACTGTGCTGATCCAGTGTGTTCCTTTAAACAGACTTCCCCCTCGGACGAGGCAAGCAAGAAACAGCTTTTAATGCCCCACCGGCCCTCAGTGGACCACTCAGATGAGCCCTTTCAGAGGCAGAGGGCAGTGAGTGCTGTCAGCATCATCACCAGTGCCCTGGAAGGTAAGAGACATCCTCAGTTTCCCAGCTCAAAATCACATCTTTGTTAAAAAGCAGGAAAAAACTGACACAAAATGCCCTGATATTGTTTTGAAAGAAGGCATGAAGGGTAGTTATTGCAACCCCTATAACGGAGGCAGCACAATCCTTATCTTACCCATGGACTGGTAAAAATGCAGAGAAAATGCCATATAATCAGAATTGGAGGTTTAAGATTTTGTGCTGTCGTGGTGTTAGAGGCACACAGGGCTCACTGGAGTGCAGGGCAGCAGAGCACCAGCCTGGTTTTGGGTGACTGCCTGTACCTGTGCTGGTGTCTCATCTCTGGGGCTGAGGGAAAGCCTGCCACGTGCTGAACCTCCAAACTGGGGGGACAGGAAAGTCTCTAAGTCTCTAAGTCTCTCACAACAAGGACACTGCAGTGTGGCGTGTGAGTCCCACCATGAAATTTGAAGATGCTCAAGGGACCATTTAACCACACAAATATTTCTCAATTTTTCCACTGCTCTTCTCATGACCTGCAGGAGGATTTTCCTCCTCTGGGTTTCCATAGGCAGGAACTTTGCAATTTCCTCTGGGAAATTTATTGACAGCAAGACAACTCAGAGCAAGACCCCCACATTCCCAATCTTTTTACTTGTAGCATCAAGGGGCTTCCTGCACTTTCTCGTGTCTCCTACACTGCAAACAGACATGAGAGAGAAGGTAGCACCTAAGAGCCCAAAAAAATGTCATTCAAGAGCACAGTTGCAAGGGAAATTGTAGGTTCTCCTGCAGCCTCATTCTCTGTGTGACTGATGGAGAGGGACTCACCTTACAGACAGGACCTGGACATCAGTGTGAAACCACAAAGCCCTTCCTCCTCCTCAGTTTTTTACCCTCCCCATGGATATATTCAGCACTATTGTGGCCAGAAGATATATTTGTGTTTGAATGAATAAAGAGCTGTGTTGTTAATAGGGAAATAATTGCTTTGGTGTATTCCAGTGTTTAATGTACTCTGCAAAGATTTTATTTGTTTTCTGTGGGGTTTTTAGCAATTAGCTTTGTGACTGATTTGCTCTCTTGTAATGTGTTAAGAATGCCTAAAAGGTCTGGACTTCTGGAGTTCTTGTTTATTTAATGGTATTTTTCTATGCCTTTATACCACAGAAATAGAGACCATCCAGGCTAGGATAACTCAGAGGACATGGCACTCAGGAATGTGGTTTAGTGGTGAACTTGGCAGTCAAGGGATAACAGCTGGAATCAGTGATCTTAAATGTATTTTCCAATCTAAATAATTCTATGATTCTATGTAGAAGAAATCCTTATCAAAGGTTTCCTAACCCCCAGACTTTGATTAGTCATTGAAATTGAATACTTCTTAACAGGGAATGTCAGATCAGAATAAAATATGTCACAGGATTTAACCATGTTCATGGCTGTAAGATTTGTGCCAAACTTTGAAACAGCCAGTCCAGAAATCCCTTCCCCTTTACTTATTTGGTTTCTGTTCTTAGCTCCTGGGCAGTCAACAACTGTCTGTGTTTTCCAGACATTACAAAGCCTTGCAGACAAGAAAGGACCTATTTCTGTTTAAATTTAAAAATAAGAGAAAAACCATCACAGTGCTGGTTGTATTTTTCTGATCATTTTTTAACAGTAGCAGAAAAAGCAGAGGCTAATTTTACATTTTCTTTTGCAGATATTAGAAAAAAAACATTAAATATCTTGTGTTTTCCAAATATCATATTTACTGGGAAAGGATATGGATTATTAATTGATTTAATGCATTTTAATGCCACATCACTGCCAAAAGATGACAGTCCTACCTTTCTCCTTCCCTTGCTGTGTTCCTGCACTTTGTGTGATTGGTTTTCAGCTGGATCAACAAGCAGAACCAGCTCACCCAGAAGGTCCAGGAGCACAAAACCTGGCAAAAGGACAGAGAAATAACATGTGGCTGAGGCTGAAAAGAGTGAAACCAAACGTTTTAGCAGCAACCTGGACTTAAAGGGGCTTATGTTGTGAAGAATAAGGATATAGATCCATGTGTTCTAGATTTACCTGGAAAGTCAGATCCTTAAGGAATTGACTGCCCTATACTCTTTATTGCTTTCAGAAGTAAATTAAAAAAAAAAAATTGCATTGAAATCCATGGTTCTCAAATAATATTAGGGTTTACCTGTAAACCCTCTATTTTGAGGCTGGAAAGAGTAATTTCTTGGGAGGAATTTGATTTCCCAAAGATCTTAGAGCAGTGTAGATGTGTGTGCAAAACCTGTGCAGGTAGGACATCATTTGGTATTTTGAAAGCTTGATGGAAGACAACTAATAGCACAGTTCTGTTGTTCTTTGAAGAAAAGTGGATAAAGAATAAGAGAATCTGAGGAAAAATTCTCTAAGATCAGCAAATCCAACCTTTGACTGAATATCCTCACCAAACCATTTTGCAAAGTGCCATGTCCACTCAGTTTTTGAACACTTCCAGGGATGGGGACTCCATCTGTGCTTAACCACTCTTTCAGTGAAGAGATTTTTTTCCCCAATATCCAATCTGAAGCTCCCCTGGCACAGCCTGGGGTCATTTCCCCTTGTCCCAGATGCTTCCTGCCTTGGGAGAGGAGGCTGTTTATGAACTGATTGAAATAACAGCCTTGGCTGAAGTTTTCCTGTTATCAGTGCAGCTTCTAATTATATAGACTAAAACCATAATACAGCATTCCATGCCCATAAAGGAATCAGAAAAGGAAGGCATTAAGCAATTCTGCTGATCATTGTCATTTAGCCATTAACTGTCTTTCTTGACTTTTTTTCACCATTTAACACAAATTATACTTAAGAAATTATTTCAATTCTTTTCTGAAATGAGCATGTAAAAATGGTATTACAGGCAATATTTTAAGAGCACCTTTAGAAAGCACATTTTTAGTAGTGTTTTGAAACTGGCTTATCTGCCCCTGATTTTGTCTGTGGACCTTTCAAAAAATCAGATATTTAATGCTGTTTTGGATTGCACATCAAGGATAGAAACTCTGTAGACAGCCAGTGATACTCTGGTCCTTAAGTACTTAAATAAGCTTTAAATATTGGATTTAAGCTCTTTCATCTCTTATCTGCTTTAAAAGGTATTACTTAAGATACTTTGAAAATGTGACCAGGGACTGAAAAATAGATATTCCAATCTAAGTTAAATGCAGATGGTGTATTCTTATCCATTTGAAATTGGCAAAATGGAAAATAGAGTAAGAATCCAAGCCTATATATAATGCTAGACTTCACATATTTAGTACAATTCTCACTTTTTGCCTGTGACACTTTTAAAAGGTTTTTACTTTCAGAACAGGTCACTGTCTGCTAAGTGCAGGTCAACTGGCTAAAACCCCAAAGTGTGTAATTTGCCAGCCTGCTAGGACAGGAATATTTTTATCTTTGAAAAAAGTTTGGGGTAATTTGTGGGCCTTCCTCTGTGTAATGAGTAATTTTAAGTGTTCTCTTGTCGTATAACTCAGTGTGAATTGACTGTGACTTTGCTGCTTGTGACTTAGAGCTTGAAGAATCGCACCAGAAATGTCCTCCCTGCTGGAACCACTTTGCCGTTAAATTCCTCATTTGGGATTGCTGCCCACTTTGGCTTTTAATCAAGAAATTTGTCAAGTTTGTGGTAATGGACCCGTTTACCGACCTCACCATCACGCTGTGCATTGTGCTGAACACGCTCTTCATGGCCCTGGAGCATTACAAGATGACCAAGGAGTTTGAGCACATGCTGTACATAGGCAATTTGGTAAGTCAGCCTGAACTTGAAGTGCCACCTGAGGGGTGAATTTCCTGCTTTTTAAAGTTTTGGCCATGGCTTGGGAAGTCCTATTTTGGTAACTGCCAGCATTGCTTTGCATTTGTCAAGCAAGTCCTCGCAGCCACCTCTTCTTAGAGAACTGAATGAAGAGCAAGTGTCTATTTTTATCAAGCTAACATATTCTGCTGTTATTAGTAACCATCAAAGCCATGGTTTTGGGCTGTTCCTGATAGATATCTGTTAAAGGAAATGAGATAAGAGAAAGGTTAATGAGCTTCATTCACATTTTCTGGTAAAGCACCCATAAGGCAGCAGTTCCTGTTGACTAATAGTGACTTTTATGCTAAAACAGAAACTTACAGAAAAAAAAAGCAAGGCAAGATCTTGGAGGGAAATGGAATTGTGTTTGATCATGGGTTGGTATCTATGTTGGAAGGTGGCTGATGTGCATCTTCTACATGTGCGGGGTCCTATGAAAACCCTGGGGCAGAGGGGACAGGGAGCAAAGCACGGCCAGTACAAGCCAGAGCAGGTGGGTGTAGAGATGCAAAGCAAAGAGACCACACTTGTCCAAAGAACAGCAGAGGGAAAAACCACAGTCAAGCTGCAGGGACAGCAGAAAAGACTTTCCAAGGGCAATGTAATACAATTTGTGGCCCAGGGGTCACTCTAAATGAAATCTTTTACTTCAATCATCTTTCTCGAGTTATGACAGCAGAAAAGACTTTCCAAGGGCAATGTAATACAATTTGTGGCCCAGGGGGTCACTCTAAATCTTACTTCAATCATTTTTCTCGAGTTACGTTTAAAAGTTGCCATGTGTTACTGATTTAAAACTTAATGTTTAGAATCCTTTTAATTGTAGAAGAGTCTGAATTAGAAAAGGCACAGGCCACCTAGCTATGGCATGGTGGGATTGCCCCTAAAATGTAGTGGTAGCAGCAGAGATATCCTATAGGGATATAAGTGGTCTGGAGAATCTAGAAGGTGGATGCTGCCAAGCTTGCATTTAAGGAGCTCACAGCAGAGGTTAAAAAGCCCTTTATTTCTATAAAAACAGAGGCTGCAGTATTTCAAAGCTGGATTAATGTCACCTAATTTTAGGTATTTACAGTGTACGAGTCTGTGCCAGTTGTCTTTGTCTCCTTTTAAAGTCAGTGGAAGGTAATGGACAGTTTCAAGCCCCATTAATGTGATGTTGTAGTGACATTTACTTTTGGATAAGGTGAAGGGCTGTGACTGCAGTAGCCACTGACCACAGTGGGAGCACATAAGAGACACTGCAGATGTGAGACCTGCCTTTAGTGAGAAGCTTCCCATGCTGGCAGGTTTGGGTGGGTAGTAGCAATAACCAGGCATTTTGTATCAGCCCTAGAATATGGGATATAACAGATAGATTTTTTTTTTCTTTACCCTGGTCCTTGTTTTTTCTAGCTCTGGGCTTCCATGGGCAGGTTGAGGTTATTCCCCTGGGCTTTGGGATCTGTCTCCAGCTTTTCATCTGATATGTCTTGGCAAATCTCCCTCTGTTGTTGTGCTAAGCAGAAATCTGTTTGGGTCCCTCTTGCTCCAAACCCATGCTCTTGCCCTCTGCAGAAAGCAGTAGATAAGGATAGCTTGGAAATCATCTCACAGGACTGTACCCAACTTCACTTTGCAGCCAACATTCCTTCTTGCTGCTCAACAATTTGAGGTCTTCTAAGATGACTTGAAAAAATTCCTTTGCGTCCATCAAAGCAGGTGGCAAAGCTGCCACTTCCCTCCCTGGCACTTGGGATAGTCAAGGTGTCTGCTCCTCACTCTGCTTTTGGCAGGTCAGCTTTCCCCTTTGCGGACCACAGGCAGTGAAACTTTAGCCCTTGGCTTCCCTCCTGCCAACACAGCTCCTGCAGACCTGCCAGGGCTGAGCAGGGCTGTGCCAGGTGCCATCAGGAAATTAGACAATCAGTAGAGACAGGAATTTTTGCAAACGGAAATTTTGCAGAGAGACACTTTTTTTTTTTTTTTTTTTGTATTTTCCAGAGAGAGAAATTTCACAAAGCAAATATTGCAAAATTTTGCCAAAAAACAGAAGAAAAATCCCACTGTGAGCTTCTTAGCACTGCCTAGAGCTATTTCTCTTCCTTGTGCTAAAGTGTAAAGCAAGCAAAACAGCCTGCCTGCATTTTTTTGTAGCAGGCTGATGGCTTGGGGCTCCCCTTCTCCTGAGATCCCAGCCTGGGTCTGTGAGAGCCCAGCCTGTCTCAGCTCACCCTCACCAGCTTTTCTAAACCCCCGCATAACTGGATTAATTGTGAGCAGAGCAGGTCAGAGAAAGGTAACTCCATTTCGTGGAAGATTTTGCAAAGTCATTTGTAATGAAAATTGACATTTTTTACAATTCCCTGTGAAAGGGAAGGGAGTCCCAGCTCCAGGGCAGGCTGCCAGGTGGCTGCATCCCCTGAGCTGCAGACTGGCAGCCCCCCCTCTGCCCCCACACTGGCTGGCTGGCTGTCTTCCCATTACATCTAACCCTCTTTGAGTGATTATGCTAGCATTAAACAGGGGAAATATTAAACAGGGCAGGTCTTTGGCTTTTCTTTTTGCTTTACTTTTTGCTGAGCAAATTTTCTGAGAGAAATGAAAGAATGAAAATGGAGTATGGATTTTCTTTCTCTGGATCTGCCCGTTGCTGGGGCTCTCCTGCTGTGATTGTCCATCTACTTCATTCAGCATCTGCTACTTTCAGGCCCCTTTAGTTCATCCCTTACAGGAATGAACACTTTCAGATGTGATCAGAAGGCCAGCCAAGCACGTGTACAGAACTCTTCTGCCCACGCAGTGCCACCACTTAAAAAATGAGTGGAGAGAGCAAGACTCCCTCAATTTCTGTTTTCCTTTAGAAGCTGAGGTACCATTATGCAACATTAAAGCCTAAATGGCTGAAACGACAGATAAAAGGGTTTGGTTTGTTTTTTTTTGAGACAAAGTGCTCCACATCAGCAGTGTCATATTTAGCACCAGTGGGATGTTAAGCTACTTGTTTTCTTTCCAGCCTTTATCACAAGAAACACCCAGCCCCTTGTGCAGGTGCAGTGGAGCAGGTGCTGTGTGGAATTTGGGCTGGTACATACACACACGACTCCTGATGCCTTCAGGAAGGCTCAGACATTTTGCTGCCTCGCTGTGACATTTCCTTCTCAGAAGGCTATTGATTAAAATGATTCAGGCAAAGAAAGTGATCCTCCTGAGTCATTTTCTCAGCAAGAGGGTTGCATAATGTGTGCAGCGTGGTCTCGTAGTCTTTTAAGGCAGTCCCCTGGATAGAATTTCACAGACATCCAGTTTCGTCTTGCTCTCTGTCCCAGGAAAAATTTGAGCATTATGGTGGGAATCTTTGGTATCTCTAACCCCTGTGACTCAGAAGTTCTTTGCTAATTAGAAATATGAGACAGGTTGTTTGTTGTGTTCTTGGTATGAGGTGCTGATGGGAAGTTGCTCCGTCCCAAGGTATTGCTGCAATCCAAGATATCATTTTCCTGAGGGGAAACAGAAGGTATTTTCCATAAGGAATTGTGTAAAATGGCCACTTGGAACAATTAATTCCTGAAGCATTACAGAGCAAAGCCAAGCACTCCTCAAATTCAGGCTATGATAATTCATTTTTATTCTTTAATATCATAATTGTATGATTTTGCTCCTTCTCGTTCACATCTTAGTGGGTGTCTCATCTCTGTTGCTCAGAGTTTATCAGCTTTGCTGAGCTAATGTTTCAAATATTCAGCTTCTTGGAAGGAAAACATTTCTCCTTGACTGTGTATTAGTGATACATGACCTCTGGATTTCCCCCTCTATTTTGACCAACAAAGTGCATTAATTTTGATTGTTTTACAGAAAACCGTGTATTTTAATTTTAAAGATGTCCATTTCTGTGAATGTATCTTCTTCTATTTCAGAAATTCCAGAATTTTCCAGAAACACAAAGCTCTGGGCATCTTGTACTATGATGTGACATTAAAATAAAGCAGTGTATGACAAACTTGTTGCCCACATTTTGTCATTTTAAGTTGATTGTAGCATTGCACTATGCATTTAAAACATTACTTAAGCAGGGCATGCAAAAGTACAAAATCTGTTTCTCTGGGATACTTTACAGGAATCTATTAAAAGTGAATTTGCTGTCAGCAGCCTTCCTTTCCCTGCTCCCTCTGCCTCATAGGTAATATTTATATGTTGTTTTAAAGAAAAATGTTCCAATTAGAAGCTCCAACATATGACATTTGAACTGGGTCGTAAATAACCAATGTGCTCCCAAGATGCAATGAGAAGAAGTGCAGTGACTATTTGTAAAAATAAAAAAAAAAAAACAAACCCACCAAGACTCAAATTAGAGTTTCTAATTGCCTTTGCTGCCAGCAATAACCTCAGAATAACTGGAGGCATGCATTGCCCTTCTATTGATAATATGAACAAAATAAAAAGGGATAATACAGCAGATACACTGCAACCCAAATAGCCCTTAACACTCTCCATTCACTTAGTTTTCTCCACTGAAATATATAGATTTAACCTTTATAAAAATTCAGATGATGGAAGGAGATGGAATTGTATGTTCCAATCCAGATCCTGAAGTCAGATGTCATTATAAGTTTACAGCAGTATCAGGTATTATTGTGAAAAGACCAGACAAAATTGTAATAAAGAGTCAGCCATAAAAAAAGCAAGTATTTGTTTGTAGAATGTGTCTGGCTTTCTACTGGGTTCACCTGTGACAGTGGAAACTCCACAATCAAGGAGTTGTTCTTAAAAGGTTAGTTTGACTTCATATTTTCTTTCTGCAGGTCTTCACTGGGATTTTTACAGCAGAAATGATCTTCAAAGTAATTGCCCTTGACCCCTACTACTATTTCCAACAGGGCTGGAATATTTTTGACAGCATAATTGTTATTCTAAGCCTGATGGAACTGGGTTTGTCCAGCATGGGAAACCTGTCTGTTTTACGCTCCTTTCGACTGGTAATGAATGGTCTTGTTCTGTTCTTAACCATCTTTCTTAAATTACATATAAACTCTGACATGAATGCAATGTATTTTCTTAAAAATGCATCTGCCTATAATTGCTGCAAGCTGGTGAACAGTATGTGACACTAATTACTGTGGGATAAATGGAATTGTTCCAGATTTACATCAGGGTAAATGAGAACATAATTTGATTCCTTCTAGCTGTGCCAGGTACTTGTAGCACACTTATAATATTTGAATTCCAATTTATAATAAAGATCTGCCATTTTATACCTGCACACCTGTTAGCATAGACAGTAGAAAATTGATAGCCCAAGAAATGCAAGAGCTGATAACTTGTTGTTTTAGGAGCTGTTATTCCTAAATTATGTTATAAACATGCCACTGTTCTTTTAGATGTTGTCAAAAGAAAATGTCTTTGAATTATTCAGAGAGAGATTTTTTATTTTTTTTCTAGAACTGATCAGCATAACATAGCATCTGTCTTTCAAGGGAACTCCTTAGCTGTCAGCTCCTTTGTTAAGCAGGGGACAGTGGTGTTCTATTAATGAGAGACTGGCAGCATTCTGGAACAGAAAAGTACTTTCCTTGCCAGCTTGACATTTGTGTTGCACTTCATGTACCAGGATGTCCATGCTAATTATTCTGGCCATGATATGGCTTCAAAATTTTTAAGATCAGGAAAATAAGCCCTTGTGGTTACATTTACCAAAAGAAAATAATTTTCCCCACCCAGAATTCTCTGCATTGCTCAAAATAGTAAATTTTCCATCACTCTCCTGTCTCACTCCAGTTTTTTGGAGCAATCCTGCTTCAACAGGGCTTAATTTAGACCTTCAGCTAAAAACACAGCACAAGGGCTAGGCACCATTTACATCCTTAAAATAGGTCTTAAGTGGGCTGTGGGCCGTGCACAGACTGCATGATCCTCAGCACAGAGGTGATTTTCACCCTGAGAGCTAACAGCTAATAACATCTGACTGAGACTTGCTCTGAAGGAGGAATTCCTTCTCTCATTGTGGGACCAAACCTGAAATCCCTTCCTCCAGATGCCTGCCAGGATTTTTATTTTGAGGAGGAAAAACAACACAAAAGAAAATACTAAGAAATAGTTGCCGTCCTTCCATCCTTTCCTCACCAGTGGGGGAATGTGCCATTAAAACCATGTCTATCTAACCAGGCAGAGCACAGCTCAGGAAAACTTAATTCTCATCTGAGAAGCCCAACTGATGTTTTATTAATAGAAGTAATGAGGTTAACAGGAAGTATGGCTAAAATCACCTTGTACCACACACACTGCAGCGTTTAACATCTTTCACGTTTTATTCGCTTTAATAATTCATTGGCTGAAATGGCTGATGCTTCTGTGAGCTGACACTGTTGTTTATGTTCTGTTCATAGCTGCGAGTCTTCAAGTTGGCAAAGTCCTGGCCAACCTTAAACACGCTCATTAAAATCATTGGTAACTCAGTGGGTGCCCTTGGTAACCTCACTCTCGTGCTGGCCATCATCGTCTTCATTTTTGCCGTGGTAGGAATGCAGCTTTTTGGGAAAAGCTACTTGGACAATGTGAAGAAGATAAGCACCACTGGCAATCTGCCACGGTGGCACATGAATGACTTCTTCCACTCGTTCCTCATCATCTTCCGAATTTTGTGTGGAGAGTGGATTGAGACCATGTGGGACTGTATGGAAGTAGCTGGGCAGCCACTGTGCCTTCTCGTCTTCTTGTTGGTCATGGTGATAGGAAACCTGGTGGTGAGTTCTCAAGATGTTTTTTTTTATTTTATTTTCTTCTTTTCCTGGGCAAATGTACCATTTTTAATCCAGAAATGGCAAATCTCATATTGCTCTACAATTTTAATTCAATGAACTGAGTTGTCACCAAGACAGATTTGCTCCTATCCCAAAGTTGCATTACTAGTTGGGAATGAGGATTTGCTGGGTTTTTTCAGAAGAGCAGATGTTTTACTGGAGAACAGGCACATGGGTTGATCACAGTGATTTTATATTTTATGCTGTTCATAGGGCTGAAGGCTTTCCTGATCTCTTTTCTGTACAGGTGTATCACACACCTCAACTATCCCTGTTTTGGGACATATTTATATTTCCTTTCACTTCTGGCCCAGAGCACACAAACCATATCACAGCACAGTGTCTTTGAGAGGAGTTTTGAGTGTCTTTAGCCTGCATGTTTTAGGAAGCTGCAGGTTTTATTTACAGTAATGTCACTGGCTCACTTGCTGTTTTTTTAATAGACTATCCCATAAGCATGGCTTACATAAGCTCTGAACCTATTAAGACTGAATTATATTTCCCTGTTGACATCTTAAGGAGCGCTTTGCTGGCTTTCAGTCATTGTGGAAATGTTTTGCCTGTTCAGCTTACAGGGCATCTTTGACATTGTGGCTCTAATGGCCTTACTGTTTATGTAGTGAGTTATTTAACAGAAGATGGTGCTGTAAAAAAAAGTGTTGGTTTTTTGCTACCAATTGCTTTTAGTGGTTGTTTTGCTTTTAAGTACCCAATGTTTTGGTTTCCAGCTGCTGGGGTAGAAAAGTTCTTGAAAGAGCTTGTAGAAAAGCAAAGTGTGTTGCTTTGTTTACATTAACTTAAATTTTAACAGTTACTTTTACATAAAAATGTTGATTGCAAGAGCAAAGTATTTTTGAGGGTTTTTTTTTTAAATAAAAGTCAAAAGACTAAACTGTAATTACTCAGAAAATGAGGAATTATTTATGTTTTTTTTCTATGACTTACCATTTCTATAAATTTTTCTTGGAATTAAATTTGATTAGAAGAGATGGGCAGAATATTAGTTTCTTTATTTAGGAAAAAACATTATTTATTATATCTTTTAGGAGAGCATAGCCTGAGATCGAGAAAGTTAATTTCCCCCTGCCATTAAGCAATGTGTTCTGTGTATGATGATGAAAGCTGGAAATAATATGTGTTAAATTCTGGGGAAAATGTTAACATTTGAAATATTCATGGATTATTAAAAGATGTGAATTAGTAACATCTGATACCCTTAGATATTAACACTCATTAGTGTGCACAAGTTCTGCTAAGTATGAAATCTGTCTCAGCAGAGACTGCATTAACATTATCTATGTATATTTAACCTTCAGTGCTGAAAAAAATAAGCTTGTCCCAGATGTAAAACCAGATATTGAAAAGCTCTGTCTGCATGGAGAAGCTGAAGTTATTGGTCAGCTGAAAGAGAAAATTGCTAGCTTTACTCTTTTCAGTCAACAGCTCTGAAAGGATGTGGCAAAGACTGATAAAGAGGAATAATTCTTGTGTTTGGGTCACTCATAGAAAAAAAAAAAAAAAGAAGGGAATTATTTATAGGTGAAAGAACAGCAGATTCTGAATCATGAGACTCATCCAGTGCCAACATAGAAATTTCAAGATGTCGATTAGCTGGTAGAGAGGAAGCCATCTTACACCTCTAGCACCAGTAAAATTGTTGTTTTCTTCAGTAAAAGTGGATTGAACTCACCAACTCACTCTCATAACATCATCAGACCCAAAAGTTCTGGTAGCTTAAAAGCACCATGAGCCCTTTCAAATAGAAATACTCATGTGCAAAAACTTTTACCTGTAACTCCATTGCCGTCTGTGCTAGCAAAGAAAAACTTGCAAAAAACTTTTTCCTCCTTTGATCCTTTTTCCTCCTCTGAGTTTCAGGAGTCAGTTCTGATAAAGAATACTATCCTGAGCTTGTATCTCATTTGGACTCTAAATGCTTCCATAGTATCTGGAGGCTTGGAGAAAATCTTGGTGTAGCATATCTGTACATGCATCTAAATTAAATACTTTTACCTGTCACATCTGCCTTATGGTGATGTCTGTGGTCACTTTCCCAACTGCAAGGCTGAGGACTATGGAGCAAACTTCACCTCCTGTAAAGTCTGCAAGCTGGTGTTGAAATTGTTAGAACCACTGCAATTCTGTGGTATGTTCAGTGATTCGGTTTGCAGGTCTTATCCAGCCTCACTAACATGAAAATTCAAAAGAATGGTGAAAGGAAAGCCAGGAAACTTAGAAAGTGCCCTGGGCAACATTGCGTTATAGAGCAGTCCAGCTGTTGAAAGAAATTTTAGTATATCCTTAGTCTTTGGGTTGTATTCATATATCCTGAAAATGTCTGGGACAATTTGTTTGCAATGCCACACGAAGCTATATTTAAGGCTGGTCAGCTGATGAGTGAATCATCTTCAAGGAGCTAAACTTCACAATATAGTTGGAAAACTATGTGCTGTGTAACTGCCTTTTGCACAATAAAGCTCTGCTGCTACTGCAAGGTGGCATTTTAGAGTCATTGAGTCTGCTTTGCAAGGTAAAGCCAAACCAGACAGATCATGAGAATTTCTTCCTCATTTGGAAGAGAGTTTCTGAAGTAGCTAAGTGAATAATTATACAATTATAATTTTTGTTAAGTTTTCAAAAGGGCTTAACGTATTTTTAGTGTATATTTATGTTATTGAGGTGAACAAGGAAAATCACCAAGACAGGAATTATTGAGATGATGTAGAAGAATTAGGGTCAGGAGACAGGTCCTGGTGCCCCCTGCTCTGGCGAGGGTTGATGTGACACCAGCCACTTCTCAGGGGACAGCTGTGTGAGCTGGGTGCTAACAACGTGCATGAACAAAAGTGACACTTCCATCACGGGCAGGACAACCTCCCAACCTCGTTGGGTGTGTGTGACACACGCTGGCCAAGCCACACTTTTACCCTCTGGTGGCCATCAGGATGAAGTGTGGACCCTGCCAGCCTCTCCTGAAGTGCCACCAAGGGAAGGACAGCCTGAAGGGCACTCGCTGTCTCTGCTCCAGCTGGGCTGTGTGAGCCAAAAAGCATCTCTTAGTGTTAAATCCACAGAGCTGCAGTGCATTAACTGGCCCTCAGGGCTGAGTTCTGGGCTGCTGTTCTCACCTCTGTCCCATTCACACATCCCAGTACATCCATGGCACATCCAGCCCAGTTCCCCAACCCACCACAAGCTGGAAAATCACTGCTGCATTTCCATGGTGGATCTTGCATTACTGGAGTCACAAACATGTAAACATGTAGGGTCTGTAACCAAAACAGTGACACACTAAGAATTTTCCTTAAAAGCAGACTATAAGAATGGAATTCTCCTTTAGATCAATCCTAGCCTTTTTATTTTTTTTCCCTGCTGTCCATTCACTCAGGAAAATATTGATGACATTTTTTGAGAACACTAAGGTAGAAAGCACCACCAATTTCTAGGGTATCACACTATCCTGTAGGCAGGATTGCATAACCATTATTGAATTAATGCATGATGCATGGAATTATGAAATACAAAGTGTAAGGTCATGCACTCAGCCCTGTTTAAATATTTATGTTATGATCCAGTAGCTTACCAACAGAAAATGTTTTGAGAGTATATGTATCAGTCACTGTGAACATCTACATCTGAAATAATTACATGGAGGCGCCTTTATAGTCAGATCAGGTTAATGGAGTCTGTGAAGTCATAAAATATCTTACCACCCAAAAAATCTAAATATCTCGGACTAAATAGCCCCTAAAATTACCTATTTCTGTCCCTGCCATCCTAGGAGGCAAACAGTTGTAGAAATCCCCATGTGGCTGGATATGTTGACCCAAGAGGACCTTCTGGTCCTGTGTTTTCCTATGGTAATTTCAGTGCCTGGCAGCAGAGCTGCTCAGCAGGGTTTGGATGAGATTTGAAATGATGACTTTTGTTAAACTCAGTGGAAACTTTTCTCTGAAAAAGTCAAATGTGCCTGAGACCTGTCTTTCTATTCTGCTTCCACATCTCAGGAAGCCTTTATGTGTGTTTTTTCTGTTATAATTTGGCCCATGAAATAGGCAGAAATATGGAAATGTCACATTCTTTCATGGAAGAGGTTTGTGCTTTCCTACATGCATTTCCTACAATTCCATGTAGGACAGATCCATGAAGAGGTGTTCTGGGAAAGTCACACTAAACCTCCATCAGGTTAAAATCAGTGGATTTTCAAACTGGTCAGACACCAAGAGAACCTCATTACGAGTCATTCACCACCATTTCTCTCTTGAACAGACAAAATCTGTTGATAAAATGTCTTACCAGAGCTGTCCTGTCTGCAGCTGGGCAAGAAAGAAAAATCAAGTTACAGGATTTTGAGCAGCCTGTTCTACTGGAAGGTTCTGTGCCCATGGCAGAGGGGTTGAAAATAGGTGATTTTTAAAGTCCCTTCCAACCCAGAGCAGGAGATGATTCTATGAATGAGAGCAGTGCAGAACCTCTTGGTGCTTCCACTTCATCCTGTTCTTTTACAAGAGTTTCCCTTCTGACCATGAGAACATTGTCCTGAGCACCACCAATGCAACCTGGATGGGAATAATGGCCTCAAAGGAGGAGAAAGGCAAGAAAGAGGAAAGGTTATTTAGCACAGATCCTGGCCTGACAGATGTGCAAGAGAGAGATTTGGGACTGGGAGGATTGTTTGGGTGGGGAAGAGAAATGACTATAGCTTTACGTGAAGCTTAATCTAGGAGAAAAAATTCACAGCAATTCCCTGCCCTGAATCACTTTCCTAAATAACAGAGCCTAAGAATGTAAGGTGTCTGGGTCCCATGTGTCTATCCAATACTTTTTTTTTTTTTTGCTTTTTTTGCTAAAGTTGCCTTTAGTTCAATGTTTAGAGTCAAGAAAACAGATAAAAAACCACAAAAGAGGCAGCTGCAATGTGTAGTGTGTAAATATGTGAGACA